TTGAGTGATTGCGGTGGAGGTAAGGAGGGAGAAGTGAGGGGAAAAAAAGGAGAGAGTTGAAATGGGGTTTTCCAAAAGTGAGAGGCAAGCTGAGCAGACCATATGGCAGACAGGAATGAGATATTCTCCTTCTTGCTGGGCAAGAAGCTGCCTTGATGCGGTGGTCTGGGGTGGGAGGTGTGGAAGGCCAAGCACACAGGAGGGAATTTCCCTTTTCAGGACATGGCCCGTGGAAGACATGAATGAGAGAGGTCTTGAAGAATATGAGGGCCACCTTTTGGTTGAGAGTAAGCAGGAGATTGAAATCTAATAGAAATATCATTGGTGTTAAAATAAAATAATGATGAGAGAAGATGCAACCTTCTCCTCTCCAGAGGCATGAAGGCCACATCCAGCAAACAGCAGAACCAGCGAGCTGGAGCTGCACCGTGGTGGAAGAGGGGCATCAGAGCCACCTTGGGCAGGTGTACACAGATACACAAACACAGACACCTCAGCCCCTGGCCCCAAGGACCCACCACCAAAGGAACCACTTGGAAGACCACTACCATGTGGCTCATCACCCTGCAAAGCCATGGGTGCCAGCAGCCGCGAGCTAAGTGAGGACAGATCTCCACAGCGCGGCCTACGGATCCAAGGGCGGCACAAAGAGCCCAGTGTAACATCCTGCTCCCTCTATGCTCGGGAGTGAAAGCGCTGTTGGAAATGGTGAACTTTTCTTCCCTTTCCAGAAGCTTTGGCACAGGCAAACACGCTCTGTGGCAACGGCCGTATGACTCCTGAGTTGTGATTTTGTCCTCAATGCCCCTCGGACTCGCTCCTTCTCTAACTCAGCAGCTGCTGGGACAGTCTGAATCTTCCTGGCAGCAGAGGCTGAAGTGGTATGACTTTGAGCTCGCACTTCACTGCAAGCCTAAAGGGCAAACAGAAGTGAGTGGCTCATTCAAAAAGAGTTCAGGTCCTCACTGAATAGCTCATTGCAGCTCTAATTACCATGCCTCTCCATCACTAGGGACAGCAAACGAGAAGGAGCTCCAATTCTGGCAATGCGAGATTCGGTATTGCCTTTTTTGTTTGTCTCTTACCATTTAACGATTAATTTCCAGCACTTCTGGTAAGGGCATTAAGGTAAAATGACTCTGTTTGTACAGGGGGAGAGATGTTTCAAGAAGCATGCAGAAAGACAGTGTTTCTGCTTAGAAAAGTCAAGGCGATAGGCACTCATGGTGGGTGGCACAAAGGAGGGACCAGAGATGTCCTCTGAAGCATTAATGGATCTCACTCAACCCAGATATTTTATGCTCAGTATCATTGCTCCCTTCCACCTCAGCATTGACATGTAGATCTCAGAGCAAAATGATTCCCACCACGTTGCTATAATGAGCAGGCAATTACCAGCTGTTATGATATATTGTTTGCAAAGTTTTCCCACTGTGTCCTAAGGATCTTTTAACTCTCGCTGCCCTGGCTGAAGCAAACTGGAGCTGCATCCAGCAGCACAAAGAAATGCTTCTTTGAATGTGACCTTTTGGGGCCTGAATAGGGAGAAAGATGTCCTCCCATCTTGGGCTGCAGAAAGACCCTTCGGATGCAGAGCACTTGACTCTGGCAGGCGTTCTCACCCCAAGAGATGCAGAGCTCAATGAGCCTCGAACGCCAAGAGCATCAATGCAATGGCAACAAGTAGTTCATATAGTTTAGCCAAGTTCATATAGTTTAGCCTTAAAGCTACACAAATTTGTTTCATTACTGAAAATCTCTCTTTAAGGTATATGCCTTATAAGGATCCTCCAAAGACCTTTGAGTGGAGGCCTGAAAGAACAAGACCATTAGTATAGGTCTCCCCACCAACATCTTCCATTCAACTGACCTGTTAAAATAGAAATGCTTTTAGCTGGAGGTAAGCCCTCAGCTGCCCACTGATGGGCATTTAGACAAATGTGCCTGTGGTTCCTCTGCCCATAAAACACAACTGGGTTTGGAACTCTGGTGTTTATATCACACATCTCAAACACTGTTTTCTCTTCTCTAATGTGAATTTACACTAGGAAAGGCTCTCAGAAACTCCACTGATTTGCACATGGGGTGCAAGCGAGTGAGGTCTCACCTTCAAGCTTTCCGTTTGATCTGGAGCCAAGTGGGAACATCATCCTAGAGGATGACGCAGAAGAGGCTCAAAGTCTATGCTATTTTTGATCTTTCAGCCCATACAGATGCAATTAGGTAGTACTAACACTGCAAGCTTTGAAGGAAAACCCAGTCCATTTGAACATGCATGAAAACTGCCCAGCTTAGTTCTTGTGACTGACCACAAGCCAGACACACTAATTCGGGATGACCATGTAGTTGGCTCTACTGAAGACTGGACTAAAATTGATTGGGATGCTGGTAGTGGTGGGAAAAAGCTCACTGCTTGAGCACTTCAAAACAAATTGCAAAATACATCACCAAGAAACACAAATATTTTCTGAGACAAACGTTAAGACCTTACAGACACGAAAAAATATAGCACAGCAGTTTTGCAGAGTAACTCTCAGGAATTGCCCCCTATAGCCACACTACCCTAGAATAAAATTCATTTAGGAAACAGGGAAAATATTCTGCCAAAATGTTGCTTTGATTCCAAACAGCATGTCTACAGCAGAATAGAGAACTACTTCCTGCCATCAATTACTTCGCACAGATAAGAGTTCAGCGAAAAACAGATTTTCAGAGACAAATATTAGTATCTTTTTTTTTTTTTTTTTTTTTTTTTTTTTTTTTTTGAGAAAGGTGCTTTGTTTACTTGGTAGGTTCAAGGAGAAAAAAACTGTGGCAGCTATCAAGGTACAAAAATGAGGATGCACCTTTTCTTTCAACCTTTTAAGCAATGATTCTTTAAATTGAAGTGCACAATAGCAAGCAAGGACAAAACATATGCTTAATTCTGCATTTTGTGACTAGCAGCACTGATTTACTTTCAGGTTCCAGGTCTCAAGTGGAACTCCTGGGCTGTCAAGCCTCCCTTCTGCCATGGCAGACATGTCAGATCCCCTTCAAAAATTTACAGAGCTTCAGGCTCATGCCTCCTCCAAGGCTCTAATGGGTTGGCACTTCCTTGTTTCCAGCTTAAAATGATTCATGGCCAAAGTACATCTGTTTGCTCTTAAGCCAAGATCTCTCTTTGCTTTAAGCATCTTCTCTGCCTCCCACCTGATACTTACAGATAATGATTTTGCTCTCTTGGCCCCTTCGGTTCATTAAGGAAAAGCAGCTTTTTGGGTCTGCTCTTGCAGACCCAGATCAGACCCACGCCCCCAGGCTCCAGCTGGGGTTCATCCTTGGCTGGACAGAGACATATCCCTTGTGAACTTTATCTAGCTCCACGGAGAGATGAAACAGGAAAATGATAGCAAGGAAATATGATGCCCTAGAGAGAGCAGGAGGAAGGGGAAAAGGGGAAGCACTTCACTTGAAATAAAAAATGAAAACGGAGGAGAGATAAGCAAAGCTTTTCTACAGAGCCTCTTGAAAGCCAAATCTCTGTGACCCGCGGTTGTCCCCCTCTCAAGCAATATATTTATCTCCTGCCTGTGGAGTGTGCAGATGATGCTCAGGTGAGCCAGAGGAGCAGGGTGCAGGCATTTCAGCTGCACCCTTCCCCAAATCATCCTTGTGCTCCTTGCTCAAAAGCAATGGCAGGACTCACCAGCTCCCCTAAGCTGAAGATGTTTTACATTAAATATTTTACAGGCTGCTGTCAGAGGCTGCGGGCTCTGCATTTTAACAATTAAACTGCTTGCTGGGAGTGCACCAGTGACTCGGAGCTGGCAGAGCTCTTCCCGTGTTCTACACCTCTCTTTCTGATGTTTTTCTGCCTGATTAGTAATCTCTTCTGACAAATCCTCGGGATGGCTCCGAAACGCCAGCCGTAACATAGGAGGGATGCTGCATGCAAACGTCACGCTAAGGCTCGAGCGCTGCACGCTCTCCCAGCACTTTCCTCGCTGGACACCAGAGGGAGAAGAAGGAAAGGACAACTCACAGGGAAGCTCAAGAAGTGCTTGGAGAGCCCTCAAGGAGCTCATCCGACACCGGAGCCAAGCGCATTTCTGTAACAGGACCAAAATACACAGTGACACGCTGTCTGGGGATGGTGTTTCTGATAAAAGACTTGGCAGGGTACAGTGAGGTGACGTTCCTGGAGACGGGACCCAAGTGCTTCAGCTATGAGTGCTGAGTGCATCTTATCTCCATCTCATGGCCCCTACCAAACTCCTGGCTCCCTGGGTGGGGGCTGCTGGTGCTGTCCATGGCTGCATGACCCCAGCAAATCACCTGCCCAAACAGTCCATGTGCACGTCCTCCTGCACATGGAGAAGGACGTACATCAGCAGCGGACTGTGGATCCACTGCTGTCTCGCAGTACCACGAAGTTTGGAAGTGCAAGTAATCTATAATCAGACTGAAATATCAGGGCCTTGATGGAGGGGAGGATGGGGATTCAAGAAACCTGAGCTGAATCCATATGCTCAATATGGGTTTTGTATCTTAATGAAATGAAAGAAGAGATGCAGCATCTGCACCAGGGATCTATTTACTGCCTTATTAAAACTATACTTTTATTTCCTCATCAAATCTTTTCATGAAGCCTTCAAGGCATAAAGAAGATTATTAAATGTCAGTGACAATTCAAATAATTAATGTGTGGTGGTACCTGATACGTGTGCATTCCCTGGGACCACTGATAACAGCTGCTGTTTTTCTTCCAACTATATTTTCTCCAAAATACGTAACTTATAACTTACTCATGACAATACAGAACACTTTAATACATCTTAGTATTAAAAGTCTTTGAGCAACTCATCTGAGGACACATAGGAACTACATGCACAACTGTCAATATAGGGTGGTTTCTACAGCTCAGAATGCAGAGTATTTCTAAACAGAAGTTTAGGAGAGCAGATCTTTCATGACAAACATCAAGAAAAGAACATTTTCAAGCAGTTCTGAAGACTTACCTCCTCGCTGCACCAGCAAGGTGACTTCGCTTCCCTTGGGACATTCAATCAGCATATCCACCACCTGGTTGTGAGTGAGGCTCTGCACATTCCTCTTGTTGACTTCCACGATGAGGTCGCCCTCCTTTAGGCCTCGGCACCGTGGGCTGTCCACGATTTGTTTCACTCTTTGGCCGCCCCCACCGGGACTGTCCGCTATAGTAAACCCAAAGCCCATAGGCCCCTTCACTATATGCACAGTTATGAGTTCAGGTTGCGTTGCTATTGAGGATGCCAAAGAGACCGTGTCGTTGGGGTAACTATGGGAGCTGTTGGAAGAGACTTCAGCAGGACTGCTCGGCCTTGCTTCCTTCGTGCCGTTCACTTTCCCCGTTTTACTACTGTGGCTCGATGGAGAGTCATAATTTTCCTGCCCATTCACAATGATCGGCTCTTTATCCAAAATCGCCACGGACGTAACCAGGCTCGTGTTGGGATCGTCGGGATCGAAAGGCAGAGGGTAGCCTCGGCACAGTTCAAGGTCCACACTGGCACCGATGGGAATGGACTGGAAGATTTTCACCACTTGAGCATGCGTATGGCCCAGCACGCAGGTATCGTTCACGCTGACTATGACATCCCCTGCAGATGACATGGGCAGATAAACCAAACCCACTTAGCCACATCACTTCTGTGCATGAAGCTCCGATCCACAGCATCCATGGATGCTACTCAAAGGGGAGCAAGGAGAAAGAGCATTTGCACTTGGGCAAGCAAGAACTATCTCTATGCAGTGGATTCTCTGCATAATGCTTTCATAAATATTTTTGACAGTGAAAATGCAATTTGGCTCATGCAAAAAATTAATAGGTTCAAATGACAATATATGGCCCATTTAACAGCTATTGCAAAGCTCATCTCTCACTGTAATGCACTGTGCTTGTGCTATGCTGATACATGATTGAAACAAAACTTGGAGCTTGTGAGGGCTATAACAGAAGGCTGTCAATCACCAACTGCTCAAATAAGGTGCCATCTACCACATCTCAGACCTATTGATTAAGTAATGATTTGTTTTTCATACTGTGGCTACAAGACAAGGATGTTTAAGGTTGTGATGTTCCACGTATAACTCAATCTGCAGCCTCTGGTGATTCCTAACAGGAATTCGCCATGTTGGCCTAACCTCAGCCAGAACTAAGGATGGGTACCTGTTTCCATTTTGCCATCCAACGCTGCAGGGCCGTCAAGCACCAAACTTTTGATTTGGAGAAATTCATCCGGTTCATCCCCTCCAACGACCGTGAAGCCAAATCCCCTGCTGCTTTTCCTTAGCTTGGTGTGGATGAACTTCCCTTTCAACTCAGAGGGGTTTCGGGTAAAAAAGGGCTTTCCTGTTTAGGAAGTTCAGAAAAAAATATATATAAATAAGCAGGCAAGAATATCTAGTTTGTTTTTCTTCTTTCTCTCCCTGTTCTAACAATTGCATGGGCAAATACAGCAACGCTTTGGGTCAGAAATGCACATTCCACGAGCTCTGAACATCCGCAGCACTTCCCAACGCCTGCACTAAGCACCTTTGTGCTTCCACTTGCTTCTGATGCTTAGAGAGGAAAAAGCTGTGTCACTCAGCCCTCTGGTGACAGCTCGAGGATCAGCAGTGCCTGCTGCAGCCGGCAGTGCTGGCATGGGCTGCTGTGAGGGAAGCGGAAAGCAGCTCTCAAGGGAGCACTCTCTGCGGGGTTGAGGCTCCCAAGCCTCCACTTGGGAACAGAGCTGGGGAAAAGTGCACCTGGGGATGCTTCTCGAAGGGGCTGTGCAAGGACTGCAGCCTTCTGCCTTCAAAGAAGCAACAGCGATATTGTCATCTGACAATCCTGCATATCAGAGCAGCTGCTCTGCTCAGAGCCCTGATTGCCAGAAAAGCCCTGCTGTCTGGAGCACAGTTGTCCAGCAGTAAGGAGGGCTGAGAGGCCGTGTGTATTACCCACCACTTGGTGCTGGGCTCCATTTTGGTTCGAAAGACAAGCAAAGCAAGCAAAGCTTGCTGGCATCTGCCTACCAATACAGTGAGAACTTGTCCTGCAGTTAAGATGCAAATGGAGATGTTAGTCCACCCTATAGGCTACATCCCAGGTCTGGTGTTTGGGAGGCCTCATTTCAGATAAGCCTCTGTTCCAAACCCTGCTGGGAGTGTGGTGGCTGAGGTCCAGGAGCAGGTACTCTGTTGCTAGTGCTCACCTTGGTGGCAGGGATGGAAATTCCTGGTCCAAGGGCAGCTGGACACAGCAACTGCCCAGCATGTGCAAGAGAAGAGAGCAAGACCATGAAAGGAGGAGAAAAGAGCAAGAGGCGAGACAGTGGTGAGCACCAGGACATGACATGAAGAGTAGTGCTGAGCCAGGCTAATCTCCAAAACATCAAGGGGCAGCCATCTGGAGTGGGTGGAAAGCTGGGCACGGCTCCTAAGGTTGTCCAAGGGATGACCATCCCATTGCATCACCACGAACGGATGCCTGGGCTCTGGCCTCGCTGTTGCACACTGATATGACATTCACAAGTGCTCCTTTGAAGACGACCTATCCATCGCCTATGTATACTAACGTACCTCGACCTCCTTTGCTTCTCCTTGCTGCCTGTGTCCCATTCCTCTCACAGAATCTAAGCTCCCATGAGCTCCTGCAGGCTCAACTTCAGAGCCTACCTCGGAAATGCAGAATATAGGAGCATTCCCCAGCTCTTTCCACCTTCCCAAGCCTTTGGGTTTCTGTAGACCAGAGCAATACCACAAACTCACAACATCATTACATATGAAAATGAAGTCCACTTATGATCACTTAAAACCAGAGAGCATTTGCCCTGGCAAGAGCTACAAGTGAAACTCTCTGCAATTTTTTTGGCAACCTGATCTGGCAAAGTTTCAGTTCATTTCAGCTACCAATAAAAGAATAAAAATACGTTCTGTCCAGGTAGTTATTTACGACAAGGCACTGACCTGTGAGCAGTTGGCCAGACACATAACACTGATGCTAAGAAGTAAGGCTGCAATTATGCCAAAGCACTTGGCCATACGTTCAGTTCAGATTTCAAACCGGTCCATAATCAAACTGCAAGATATGACCCCAAACTTTAAGTCTTTTTGAAAAAGCACTTCCCAAAGCTGCTAGTGACTTAATGAGCTTCAACTCAGGAGCTCTTTCAGAAGCCAAATGCATGCAAGGCACTTGGCCTTTTTGCTTTCTGGTCTTGAGGACATCTAAGGACTGAGGATAGACTCCTGACAGCTCTATAAAAGTTCCCAAAACAGCAGAGGATCTTCAAGATCCCCCTTCTGGAATTCCCCCAGCTCCTACTCCCTCAACATTCAACATTAAAAAATGTTTGAATTCAATTCTTCATTCGGATTCAAAGCACAAACAGAAAAATGAAACCCATAAAATCACCAACCAGATCCTTCCCTAGCAAAAGTAAACAAGCTACTCGGGCAGCTACGAAGGCAAGCAGGATACCTGAGCTCTCCAAAATTAAGGTACTGCCAAATGGTGCCAGTGATGCACCCACATACAGCTCCCAGACATGCCAACCAGCTGTTGGGGCTATTAAAACTGCTTTAACCTGACGGTCTGCCTGCCTGTGTGCAGACATGGTGTGATGTTGGCTTAGGCTCTTACGCTAAAATATGACATGTTAATGCACGTTAGTGTTTGAATCACATTGCAGCATGATGAAGCTCTTCGGTTGGGTTTTAGAAAGAAAGGTTAGCTTGTGTGAACAGAAAGAAATGCCTGCACTGGGTCCTATTTTATGATTCTCATTCCAGACTCAGTAGAGTTTAGCAGATACAAAAGTCTAATCCTTGTGTGTCCCTAAAGCCCTGCAGAAAAGGGATCTATGTGCATCTACTTTCAGTTGTTGCTAAATCCTGTTGATGTGGAAACTCCTGTTTTCACTGTGACTTTTGAAGACCTGGAAACCATGAAAACCTGCCACAATCCTCTTAACATGTGGGCAGTCTCACTTGCCACTCACATCTAGTAGCCACAATCACGACTCTAAAAACCTCGGGATAGTTGGCAAGCATGTGCCCTGCTCCTACAACCCGACTGATGCAGATCCTCCCTTTGCTAGTGGCTGAAGAAATCCTGTTCTCAGCAAAAATGTTGCTTGCTGTAGCTCAACAACCGGTTTAACAAGGTTGTTACCTTGCACTGGTGCCTCCCGAACTGCCTCTTGGTTGTTTGAAACATGGTTGGGAGCAGCGGGTAGTGGGAGGGATGGACACTCCTCTGTCCATTCTGGAGAGGGCAGAGAGGGAAATGTTACTAGTTTCACAACTGCACTATGAGCTCCTAGACATGCACACACTCGAGTGCAGGGTCGTACAGAGGAGAGAGGTGAAGCATGACAGGAGGGGAAGAGAGAAGCAGAGCCATGGAGAGTGACTTGAGACATCCCAAACCAATTCAGTAGGACTCGCCACATTGAGATCAACCAATCTGTCTGCAGCAGGTTTCTACTTCACACCCAGCCTTGGAGCTTATAATGATTTGCAACCAAGTGCTCTCGACATTTTGCATGAAAACTGCTCTCCACTGCACTCATGATATCTGTTCCCCTTGATTTTTAAGCAATAGAGCTGATGTTGCAGGAAATGGGGCTGCAGGAAGAACGTTGAAGCCTAAAGGATCTTCCTTGGACCCTAACAACAACTGTTCAACTGAAGGATGGGAAAGTTATGAAGGTACCAAAACAAAGCAAACGTAGTCAGAGTGCATTAAAAAGTGATTCAAATTAATCAAAATATTAGATGTTACAGCTCAAAAACACCCAGCATTCTGCTACATCTTCTCTGAAGAGCATATGCAAACTTTCCCATGCATGCCACCTTGCCTTGAACACTACGAAAGGGAGGACAAACATAATCAGCATGAAGCCTCCAACTTAATGGATGGCATGTGCCCTAGTAAAAACCCAAACCATCATGCCCACCCTGGTGCCAACCTTCTGGTGGTGGTGGTTGTTGTTGCTCAAGCTGTTTCTTCCTCTTAGCTTCAAGAACGGGGTTTTCATATTGTGTCTTCCGGTTGATGTGGCTGGGGAAGAAAAAAAACAATGAATTAGGAAAGCCTTTACGTGACAAGCAGGAATGGAAGGCACGGCTCAAAATTCCTCCGAGGAAAGGAGTAATGTAGCAAACCAACCCAGCAACAGGGTCTCTGGAGCAATGTTCACCATTTGTGCCAAAAGGCATATTTAGGAAAGCAAGCGTATTACAGTACTGATACGGTATCTTGACTAGAAATGGCCAATTCTTTCAAATACATTAGTCTTCTATTTGTGAACAATAGATTAAAGTGGAAAAGGCGCTCTGTCTGATTGCATTTTAAAAGACAGGCCCATATCAACCCTGCTTTAATCTGACTCCCAAAGGTGTAGTCATTCCGTGGCTCACTGAAGGTAAAGAAGCCAACAACTGGTAACATCTGTCAGCTACATGATCAATGCACACTCTTAACAGTGTCTGAGAAATAGCTGCCCAGATGCAGGCTAGAAGCTGAAAAGCTCATCTCTGGATGAGCTTAAATAAACATATATATATAATATATATACACACACACACACACATGCACACATAAACAGAATTAGCCACCAGAAAATACTCCCAGTTGGAACGAGCATTTAGTGAAACTTCGGTTGTTCTCCTTGGAGATGCCTCAAGTTGCTTTTGACCCAGGATGAGGTATTTATCATTAATAGCTATTACCAATTTCAGGAAAAGACTGAAACGCTGAAAACCAAACCAACCACAAACACAGATGAGCCATGCACCCTGCAGAGGAATTTACCACGGCATGAAACCAAACCACCATCATGGGATGTGGGCAGAATTTTGGGATTCCCTGTGAATGAGTGCTAGAGCTGAATTTCCCAGCTCATCAGTCATTCAGTCCCACTGCAGTCGCTCAGTAGCTGTTTTGCTGCGACAAAGAAGCAGGTAGCAGGTAGCCCCGAGCAAATTATAGTGGCCTATGACCAGGAACACCGCTGCTGAATTGGCTCCCCTGGGAAAAAGAGAGCATTTGGAAAGCGATTTCAAAACAGAAAAAAGCAACCCTTAATCTGTCCCTGTGTGACATCAGTTATTTATTGACACTAATCACAGGGATGGTTTGAAATGGTTAGATACAGCCAGGCATCTCTCTGTCTAGGACTTAAAGAGCCAGCAGGTTAGCAAAGGATAAAAATGTTCATGTCCAATTTCTGTAATCTCTCAGTGCAGAGCCCAAGTTCCTCCATCGCTGCAAACCATTCCTATTACCAAGGACCTGGTAGGGTTAAGTATAATAGCTGAAAATACTTTTTTGCGTTCAAGTCCAGGTTTACCATTAATAACAACTTCTTTTATCATCTCTTGTCCCTCCTCTATCAAAAAATTAAAATTTGCAAGTAATTAGGGCACAAGCATACTACTGAGTTCTGCTTAGAATTTTTCCGCTAAAGACGAATACAAAATCACTAGAAAAATATATCAAATAAGCAACTACAAACAACTTCAAGAATTTTACAAGAGAGAGATTTCCAATTTCACGAAATGTTCACAAAGCTGAGGAAGATGATAATGGTTTCTAAAAGGTGATTTAATTTAACTTTTGTTGGCTATAGTAGTTTCTCAATGAAAACCTTTAAGTAAACAGAAAGAGTGCTTCAGTTAGAAGGGTCAGAGACAAACATTTAAACTGTACACTTTGGATAGACAGCAAATATATAATAGATAATAAGTAGAACAAACTTAGGTCTCTGACTTTACTTTTCTATTTAACTTCATCACTGAGGGCCACAAAATTAATGGGCACATATTTATAAAGCAACATGAAAAATGCTGGAGAGACCTCTTGGCTTGACATTTAATAGCTGAAAAATACTCTTGATGTCTTTGGTAAATAAATGTCAGGCCTTAATTACACAGCTTGCTAACCCTGTTTCCCTAGGCACCGATGGCAGGGTCAGAAACGAGCCCAAGCAGACAGAAGCTCTACTCTGTGTGTATTCTGAGGGCTATCATAAGACATGCTACTAGACAGCAGTATACACATAATTAAAAATTCATTTTCTGGGGTCAGTGTTGAAACAAGACTCAGATCTCTGGTTTCCCAAGGGAGCACTTCTGTCGTGTAGATAAAAAAGAAGCTGCTCCAATTCCAGGGAGAGTTGCCTTAAACCCGTAATTCTGCACAGCCCAACGCACCGCCACGCCAGCAGCTGGGCAGTGGGTATTTGGCTGCACAGACGCTTCTGCTCTTCATTCTGATGTCCTTTCATCACAACTGACTTGGTGGTCTGCTTTGCATGCTGAAGTTTTGTTGTATTCGGGGAATCAAGCTCAGTTAATCGCACGTTTGTTCACACTGTCTTAATAAATGTTATCTCATCTTAAAGAGGGCTCTGCTTTGGCAAAGGAATCAGGATCACCCTCCTTCTGTCCAAATTAGGGCCCTTACTGAAAAATTCACGGGGGCATTCAGACCTTCAGACAGCAACATGCTGGGGTTTTGCAAACCCTGAGCTTTGGATGCTCCTTCTCTCCCCAAGTGCTCCCTGACCCCAGGATGCTCCTGCCTCCCTTGAGCTCACTAGCAGTGCTGTGTTGGAGGGATGCTCCTGGGCAGGCAAGGTCTGAGATGCCAATCCTTGGGCACCCTGTTGCCCATAGAGGTGCAGGGGCTGCTCCTCATCCTCCTCGGCATGACATGCAATCAACACGGGTCTGGAATCGTGCAGGAAAAAGTGTTTCTCCCTTCCCGACAGCCATGCCAGAAGTGCAGAGCGGCACTTACTCTACATAGTAGACACCATATACGGGATCCTCAATTTTCTCCCAACCAGCAGGCAATTCTGGAAACAGAAAAAAAAAATACTGAAACTTCTGAAGAAATTTTTATTGCACTCTTCCTTAAGACACAAAACTCATCAGCAGCTCAGGCTTGACTTCCAGCCCAACTTTCAAGATGCTCACAGCCTTCTTTTTAAAGCATGACACAGCACATCACCAACATTATAAGCTGTCCCACCAGTACTGGTGGGAAGCCCATCAATTTCAGATTTGCTTTTTTTTTTTTTTTTTGCATTAAATGAAAAAAACTGTCAATAAGTTTCTAGGTGAGATTATGGCAAGCGGTTCTGGCAGACAAACTTTTCATCTCTTGTTCCGGGGCTAGGCCGAGTACACTCAGCACTGCTGATAACAGCCTATTTTTCTGCATCTTTCTTAAGGATTTACATTGCTTTGCAGAGCAAAATTTGCTCATAATTGGACAGTGTGAATTTAATGTAAACAGCCCCATATGGAAACCAGCCTCCTGGGTTCTTCTACACGCAGGTGTATTTCGATGTGCAACAGTCAGTATAAAAATATATGTTTCCACAATTACATGTAACAGCAATTTCCTTTTTTAAATTAGCATAATTAACAAGCAAACAAAAAAACAGTTCTGAAGATGGAACTAACATTTGGAAATGTATCCATTTTTGTTCTTGTTGATTTTCTAAACTGGAAGCATTTTAACTATAATTAGCAAACGTAATATAATCACTTCAGTTATTTTCTTTGCCCCACTCATTTTTTTACACACCATATTCCCATTAGCTGCAGGTCCTGAAATAAATTATCCTAATAAACAAGAGGAGTTCTCATGGAAATCTGTGCATCAAAAGCCTTCACCGTGCCACGGACTGTGCAAGCGCAGCCCCTGCCCCACACACTCTGTACATGTAATACATAAGTAATAAGAGGAAGACAGATAGGACAAGTTTACAGGATATCTGCTGAAGTATCTCCTGCAAAATAATTCCTCAAGGATATCATTAAACTGACAAACCAATCATCAATGCTTACTTATTATCAAAGGCAAAGATTTATTTTCGTTAATGCCATCAATTGGTAAGCCCGTACAATCAATAATGACCCATTAATTTGAGTAAATGTAACTATCTATTTCTCTATTTATAGTCTCTGGCTATGCTGCCATAAGGCTGGAAATATTTCCAAACCACAGATGAACAGAATCTATACAAACACACATGGATTAATTACTCAAAGTTTATGTTTGTGTTCTGAATTGGCTGAATATTAGATGAAATTCATTTCATGGATTTTGCTCCACATGTCCCTTATTTGCTAATATGAGAGAGGTTTCCATTCTCAATATTTAATGCTTATCAGTTATAATGTCTTTGGATTCCTTGAGACATAAGCAATTAAATGCAAGCCAGTGCTAACTTTTGGGCATGAAGATACTTTGCAATTTTATCAACAGACCAATCTCAAATTCTTTGAAAACAGGTCACTCCTCTGTGCCGTGCAAGAAGGAAGACTACATGTGAGCAGAAGTTACAAAGCTACAGGTCAGTCTTGAAAATCTTCTCACGAAGTGAACCATCCAATTTGCAAAGGACTCCTATATGGTAAAAACACTATAGACTTTATTTAAAGAGTTTCACCACAATTAAATTATGACCTAGAAAGCATTCAGAGAAACCATAATTAGTGGCAGCCATTTCATTCCTAATTTGCACTACTGCACTATGGTGAAAGTTGAATGGTGAGGAGGCCAAGCCGGAAAAAAAACAAAAAAGTGAAGGGAGCGAAAAATAATATGCGAATGCTTTAAAAATGAGATTGTTTGGATTGTGAAGAATGCTTTAAAAATGAGATTGTGTGGTCTATGAAGTGCTTTTCAATTTTAAAGCTCAAATAGAAATACTTTATTTTCTTTCTCTTCATAATTATTTCTGGTGTTAATTTATTTTTTTCCTTTAATATATTCTCACGGAAAGCCAGAAAATGTTCACATCCTCAAACTGCTGCTTTCAACCCATTTTTGTTGACTATGTAGAAGCACTTTCAGACTCATACAAGCTTCTGAAATTTCTCTGAAGTAAAAGGTTAGTCAGTATTCTCCATAGGCATCTTGTGCATACTCACACCTTAGCTACTTTAAAATATTCATCTTCCTGTTTTACTTTTCCTGACAAACTGAAAATGACCCTAAACATTAGACTGTACTATAAACATAAGGTTTCCAAAAACATTTTGCGCGTTTAGAAGCCATATGGTTTTTACTTTGGCATATCCATGAAGTACTCTGTAGATTCAAAATACTTGTCAGCAGGTAACTTCAATGGATAAATATTCCATTTTATACTTTTAAGCCTGGGGTAAATACACGAATTCCTGCTGAGATCCTTCTGTTTAGTATTCTACCCTACAGAAGTGATAGATGGATTCTCCAAAAAAAACCTTTTCTAACCACCAGAGACTTCAGTCACATCCTTGCATCACTGCAAAGAAGCTGGAGTTGACTGCAGTGTATTCAGCTCTTACTGCTCCCTGTGTCACTCAGTCCAGGAGGATCTGCCCACGCTTGTGTCCAACTCTACTGCAAAGGCTAAATTTGAGTATTTCTCTTCAAATTTATGCCAAGAGAGAAGCAATCTATTACTAGATATTAAAAAAAAAAAGGTCATGCAAATGCTTCCAGTTTTAATTTTTTAGACTTAGAAAACAAATTTTATATAAACAAAGGAGCTAAATATCTGGCAACAACCAGCTTATGCTAATCATGAGTACAGTTAATGAATAGGCCATATGTTTTCATGCCCCATCACTCATGTTGTTGTAATCAACTGAACCATTTGAAAATGTCTGTCTTTACACTGCAATATTTGCAGATCTCAGCAATACATCTATGGGCTGTAACCTCAATAAAGCTTATCTGCAATGAAACCAAGGCACATCTCATGGTGTCACACACTCGTAAGTGCATGCAGAACCAGGGTCAACCTTATCAGCAAATGAGTCTCCCTGCACCTCTTTCTTCTGCCCTTCTTCTCTTGCACTGGATGCTATCAGATTGAAAGGAGATGACATTTCTCTTTCGTTTCTGCTTCTAATTTTGCTTTTTGCCCTTTTTCTTATTTCAAGTCACCCTTTGTGAAGGCCTCCATGAAAAACACCTGCAGGCTATTGGTAGGCATCCACTTCTTCCTGATGCTAGCTGGTCTGCTGGGGACCACCTGCCTGGCTGTGCATAATGCTGACATACAACTCAGGTGACTACATTCTCTTCAAAGTGTATTTTTGGTCACATTCTTAAATTCTTGCTCTAAAAAACATTAGGTCTCCCACTTCCATCCGGGAGAGCAGTTCTTCCAGTACTGCTAAAAGTCCAGGCAATAACTGCTGGCTCCTGATGACGTATCCATCACAGCGAAGTGGGAAGCAGAATACACTTGCAAGTCATTACAGAAACCAGAGGTGAATTCTCTGGTAATACATCCTTCAGTATGCAGAACTATAAACTGTAAATATATTCCTCGTTAAAGCAATAATAGACCTAGTGGAAATAAAATCCTGTGCAACCTCCCATGCCCTTCAGCTTCCCAAGTGCACTAGAGCATAGCTGAACAGAAATAACAACTACCTCCACTATCAGCATAAACAGAACAAGCACCGCTGAGATTAGATATTAAGACAGCACTTCTTCATTTCCTAAAAGATGCAGCAAATGAAAGTGTCCCACATCATCTGAAATCATCTGCTTACAAAGCCAGGTACTGCAGTAAAAAAAAAAAGTTTTACTGTTTCATTCCCAAGCTCAGCAAAAGCTACGTAAGGCTTAAACTTGCTAAATCTCGTGTTGCTTCTCTTGTCTGGGCAATGTCTTTGATCCTAGTCCTGAAAAGACACCATTAGATACTTGATCTGATCACAACTTTGGCAGCAGTGGGCTGTTTTCTGGAGACAGCAATATGAGCGGAAAAGCTGTGACTGCTGCAGGGTCCAGCAATAGGCAATTTTGAACAAACTTTGCGAGATTAAGGTCCTTCTAACTTTTTTTTTTTTCCTCCCCAAACTCTAAACTAGTAAGGGAATTACTGTAAATCTGCACCTATAGAAAGACTAATGCTTCTGGGACACGGCCTGATTAAAATAAAAACTGGAAAGATGCAAAATGACATAAAGGAGAAGACAAGCAATTAAAGGCTTAAAACAGTGTAGTTGAAGTCAAACATCAAAATGAGAGATGGATGATTTACCTAGTTCACTGTCCAGTTCCTCCGTGTGTACCCCTTCTTCTCCAAGGGAAGAGCAGTAAATGAGACAGAAAAAATTAAAAGAAAATTTCAGATACCAGCACCAGGCAAGAAATTCCCTACAGCAAATAGCAGAACTAGCACTGATTTTCTACAGATCTAGCCAAAGCTTTCAGTTTATCAAATTTTAGTAACCAGAATATTGATGGATCTGATGTAGATGATGAAAGAAACAATCCTTGCCTTTTCAAGATATCTGTATCAGCTGACCATCCTCGTGCTACAGTTTGATAAGGCAAAGCAGCCTAAGTTGTTCCCATTTTTGTAGTGACATTTCTCTCAGATCTATGTGGTGACACCTTAGCAATCCATTCTGTGGACAAACACATCCATCAGAAGGCCAGATTTGAGTATTAATGAAGAAATCTGAGAGGAAAACCTTGCATTTAAGTAAGAACTAACATAGCAAGGTATTCAAGAAGGTGCTTACACTTTTGGGCATACAAGGTCGAACTGATTTCATGGCAGTCGCTCCCATGATTTAAGCTAGATGAGAAGTTGAGAGCCTTGTTCAACTGGAGTCCCAGGTTCCTACTGAAGACCAGGTGCATTAGTGAGGAATAGAGAAGCATGCACCAGTTTCAGTGGGACATCTGGGATGAAAATCACATAACAATCTTGGAAACACACAAAGCCATCAATATTCACTGGTGCTCCATTTATCATTAGCTACTCCATATTCATAAGTTAACAGTAACACAGATGATTAAAGTATTGCTCAGCCTATAAATAATAATAATGCAGTCAGAAAATGAAAGATGATGACAAAATCAGAACGGAGATGGTAAAAACAATCTTGGACCTAATGCAGCAAAGTGTAAGCCATATAAATGAATGATAGAAGCAAACAGAAGATGTAGTGCCACAGTATTTGGACACCTAGAAACACTTACATGACCTGTGTGCAATACATTCTGCCAGAACAGTTGTTTAGGAACATCAGTGTGAATTATGAATTGCTATCTCCTTTGATAGCCTCAACAACTGGAAACTACCAATAACTTGTCTGGGACAAGTATGCTGACAAGGGAAGAACACAAGCCAAGCAGTCTGAAAAGACGTCTCACATTCATACAACCACGAACTGGATGGGACCAAACCTGGAAACAAGCACCCACGCACAACGACACAGAGGAGAGCACTCCCACCAACTTCAGTGGAAATACAGCAGTGATCCTTGTCAAAAAATAAAATTTATTCTCTGTGCTTACATTCCTGATATATAATTATTCTAACGCATAAAGCAACATCAGAACAGTAAAACCCTACAATGCGCTGCTGTACCTATGAAAAGACTGGCTTAACTGCTCTTAAAAATATTCAATAACAAGCAGCTCAGTGAATGAAGGGCTGTGTGGGAAGATGAAATTTGTAGAATGCAAGGACCTGATAAACAAAAATGCTGCTACTCTGTAAAATTATGAACTTAATTAAAAATGAAAAATTACTCAGCTGTATATTTACAATCTTAATGAAATAAATGATTTCAATATTTGTTTCATGACTACCATGAGGACAAGAGGTTTCAAAGGCAGTGCCTTCAGCAAGGAGCATTAAGGCTGCACAGCCAAATTCTCAAACCCTGCAAATTCTCACATTAGAAAGAAAACAGAGGTTGAAAAAGTACATGTGCAAAAATAGTAGCAGCAGCTCCGAAGGCCAGGTTTGCACCCAGTAGTTAAAATGGATGAACTACACTGATTGTTTCCTCAAGGGAAACCATAACTCATGAGAAAAGCTGTTTCACACCAGGATGAGGTTAATCACGTTATAAAAATTAATTTCACAAGGACAGCACCAACACTGATGAATCAAAACCTGACATCTTTAAGTTCTGACTGCCATCCTAGCATTGTGCTAGCTAAAACTGTGGATTAAAATACCATCACTTCATTTGATCAACAGAGCAAACTTTGCAAACATTTTTTTTTTCCCAAATGTTTAAGTTCTTATTGTGATTCCGTTTCTTATACCAGTGCCTCTTCAAGGATGCAGAGATAGATCCTCCTTCAGCAGCTAGGCACTTGGCTGCTCTCCGTTGGACAGTGGCTTGCATTTCCAACATCTCAAGGAATACAAAATCACATTGGGGGAAATTATCAGGGATTACAGATCTGGGATTTCAAATAGAATTTGTCCTCAACAATTTTAACATTAAGTGTACTGTCAGAATTTAGCATTAAGAGTGTAGCAATCAAGTTATTTCTGCTCAAACAAGGAAATAACAACACAAAGCTTTTGATTTACATAGAACAGACTGGTGAAGCGCAACACGGGGCAGCATGTGGGGACTCGGTCACTCTCCTCCACCTGGATCCAAATAAGAAGGGTGCCCGAAAAACGAGTCTCGTTCAGCAACAGCGACTAATCAAATGCATTTGCATAAACAGAAATGCTTCTTACTTCTAGCATCTCTCTATGATTTTTACTACAATCTTGATGGCTACCTTACGTGCACGGGGAGTGTTTATAGCAATCATTTCTATGCTCTTACTAATGAACTTTTTCAGTTCTTTAACATTTCTGAGGATAGGTTATGGAAAAGGGTAAGAGGAAAAGGAGAAAGCCACTTAGAAACAGATCAAACACCTCACTGGTGCACTATCTTCAGGCTCTTACCATCATCTTCACATTCTTCTAGAGGCTTCTGCTGTTTGTTCAGGCACCGTGGATCTAGCCAAGATGTTGTTTTTGTATTATGGCTGAAACCAAAAATGGAAATACGACCTTCGTTAATAAACCAGAGCAGCAGTATCAATGACATAAAAGTATATATCCTTTTTACTGTTCAAAAGACCTGAAGGCAAACTTTTCCTTCAGATGAAATGGCATTACAATTCCATAGTCTACCAAATCACAAAAATCTTGGGATCCATACAACAGAGGTAAAGAAGATAATGTATAAAAGTCATCATTAGGACATAGGAAGGTGCATGTGGAAGTTGAAATATTAACTAATTAATTTCCAAACTTTCAGTTTTGATAGATTTTTTTTTACTTCCTTTGCATCCTGATGAAAAGAATTTTTTTTCTCTTCCTGCATAAAAGATGCAATGACCTTTCTCAAAAGACCTCTGACCTTTGTTCTGATTTGACCCAAACATTAGTCAAAAATCAAAATTTCCAGGGAAAACTTCTAATTTCACAAACCAAAATGCTCCAGCAAAGCCTCTGATGGAAGCTGAGCAACTTTGCTTTCAACCCTTCCTTCCTTCCAAGTCCCCTGACTGTATCGGGTTGCCACTCCCGGGGGTGACTGCTGCACAGCCAACAGCCTTTAAACAAATATTCTAGAAATTATTTCCATCATTTGATTTGTATATGCAGAAAATCCAGCAGTATAACACCTTTTATTTCAACTTCATGGCATCTGACCCTCAAAGATAACCCTTCTCTTCCTGATATCTCATTTTTCCAGCTTAGCCTGTATCATTGCTTAGCAGTTTTGAATTACAGTATCATGCCCCTCCTTCCAGGTCTTAGAGAGATTTAGAATCTTAAACTGAGCCTCACAACTGCCTCACAAAGCAGGAAAAGCTGCTACGAGGCCTATGATCCTCTAAGGACTAACAGTTAAGCAGCAGACTCCAATTTTACTGCAAAAACACAGGACTGCCCTGCTTCCGAGGGCTTCAATAAAAGGTCCTTGTTTTGCCCATTCTGCTACTCAGCCCTCCCAGGGTGGAGTGAACAAACTCATTTAATTCTTTTGTATACTTCAGAGCAACTAATCACCAACTAGAAAACAGAATGGCAGAAATTCAGCAAGTCGGGCAAATTAACAGCAATAAAGCTGAGGGGTTCTGCCAACTTATAAATAAGGAAGTCTGCAGTCTAGCTGACAAAGAGAGCGCGGTGGGAGGAGAGCAAGGGGATACTGGCACATTTCTTGCAAACTTTAAGTTTCAAAACACTGTGGTTTGCTGAGGCATAGAAAATTTAGCTAAACATCTTTCTGATGATACATTCAGAGGGACAGGACGGTGTTAAATCCGTAACATGGACAGCTCTGCGCGTGCAGGGTAATTGAGAGTGCCCTGGAAAAACATCTTTTGTCACTCTTTTCTGATGTGCTCCCCTGCCACTGCAGCTACGGAAAAGTCCTTTTTTCAGGACTTCTTGTTGGCACCACCTGGAAGGCCCCTCTCTGGAGGATGGGACTATTCCCACTTCATCCACCGTAACTCTCCTGGGTGCCAGGACAGGTGTTAGCAGAGGGGGTTCCTCTGCACTAAACAATCTGGTTCCTGGTTTTCCATACACAAGTGGAGTTTCTCAGTTTCCTGGATTACATGAGACACACCTTTAAAACTAAAATCTGTTTTCATCCTTTTCTCTACCAGCGCAGCTAAGAGCTTGAGTTTTAAAGGCTATTTTAACGAATGTTTATGAATAACTAAACTATAAAGTAGGTGAAAGTCTCTCCATCTAACAGATATAAGTTACTCCTATCTGAATATGTGAATAATTAAAGATTATTATTTAGGGTCTGAAAAATCAATATCACTCTAAGGCTGCATCTATAGAGATTTTCTTATGCCTAGAGCGAGAGAGAGAAGCAGCAGAGCAACAAAAAAGGAGCTTTACTCTATAAAATAGACTTCTCCGTTCTCGGTGTAGGCCATCTCCCAGTTTTCCGGCAGAGGACCTAGGTTATCCTCGGCAGGAGGAGGTAGGTATTGAGGGAGGTTCTGAGATGGTTCCGTGGTGGGAACGTTGGTGTGGCTCTCGATCACAGACGGCGGGGCTCTCTCGCGCGGGATGTGCGTGCTGGGCTCCTCTTGCTCACCAGACTCTGCTGCGGAATAAACAAGAGAAAATACAACTAAGTATTTTTTCCTTCCTCTCTTTCACTCCTCTGGCTATTCCCTTGCAATTTTCTTTTCAAAGGCTCTCCTGGCTTTGTAATATACAACACATAGCAGCAGATGATCAGAGGGCAGAGGCTCTGCAGAGTCTTTTTGCCAGGAGGATGAGCCAGACCCTGCCAGAACAAACCAGCACCTGTGATCAGCTACTGTGTTCACATTAATGGGCCCTGCTGAGCTTCCCAAATCTTCCAAGCTGTCCAAGGCCAGGGCAATGCCAATGACTTCAATGGGCTTCTGAGCAGACTCACAGGTTCACTCCCACAGGGCTGATTGTGGGACAGGGATTAGGAGACTAAAATTTCCTGTTTGAAGCATGATCAAAAGGGGAGATCTCTACAAGTGCAGAAGGCAGCCAGAAGCTGAAAATCAACAAGCCAGTGGTGTTCTCATTGAGTGCAATAGTTTTTTTGAATTAAAAATTAAAGTGAACACCAGTACTGTACTACTTATCCACACGTTGCTGCTCACAAGAGCCTGTGTTTTCTATCTATGGAGTTTTTTCCCACTGTTCATGACAGTATCTCTCTACTCAAACTTACTCAGGAGTATTTCTTGACATATTTGGCTTTCTTCTCTAAGGAAATATTTCTGGTGCTTATATCCATGCTCTTGAGCTGTGGGTACAGATTACCCTTTCCCTCCACCCCTAATGCCCTCCTATTTCCCTAATAATTCAGAAATGCACCCCAAATCCAGCATCTGTCCTCCAAAATCCTACACAAGGAGGTTTCAGCAGCAACCAATTCTAACATTACTCTGGTACATAGCAAATGGGTTTCTGAAGACACTGAAAAGCTGTGGTAGACCTTTCAAACACCTGAGATGACCTGCCTGCAAGTCTCCAGACCACTGGTTTCCAGTATATCCACAGGTAATTCAAATCAAGCAAGCATAACTGAGGCCAACATTGTACTTTGCCATATTGCTGTGCTGGGACTACCTGGAGACCCTCAGCTCCTCAATTCAACACCCAAGGTCTTGTTTAAGGGGATCTGTTAGCAGCAGCAGCTCCTGTGCCATCCCTACCCTGTGTGCTGCCTGAGGCACAGAGTGCAAAAAGACAGGGTACTGACAAAAATAAACCAGGAAAAGAGAGAAAAAAAGAATATCTAGACTATACCAGTGCCCTCAACTGCCTGCTTCCTGCTGTGTTGTAATTTTAGGTAGATGCTGACAAGATAAAGAAGTTGGAGCACGAATGAATCATCACCAGCTTAGACTGCGAGTATAAACATGCCAAACCCTGAAAAACACAAGTCACTGACAGGTCGTCTTTGGAAGTGAGAACGTTTTAATATGGCTAGCACAGTTACACATAAAATAAGCATAAGGAATCACTTTGGTACAGCAGAAATAATTCTTCTTGATTCTGTGCCCATTGAATGGAGGCAAGGGGCCAGGGTGTGATAACGTTATGACAAATTAACTTCATCTTCCAGCATTTCATCCTGTGAAGAAAAATGAGGATGACAAATGAGGTGCAATCAGTTCAGGGGCACCATACTGAATCGCTCCAAGAGAAGCACCTCTCATTATAGACAGGTAGAAAAGAGGTCAAACATCATCTCAGCTTCCTGACAAAAACAGATCCTGAGATGCAGGCTGAAGGAGCTACCATGTCACAGCATGTGAGAAACTAGCCTGAAGCACAAAGTTTTGTAAAGGACCCCAGGAGTGATTTGGGGTTGGAAAAATACAATGGGTAAAAGTCAAGCAGAGCAAAACCCTCCAAACCATTAGCTGGTTTGGTCTCGAGAGAGGGGTCTAATGCAGAGACCCACCAGGAGCTCCAGACAATCACTGGAATAGCTCTGAGCACAACAATGATGAATATGGCCATGGCCACAGAGACCTACTTCCCAGGCTAAACTCTTTTAAATATCTATCCATCCGCCAGAGCCAGGATGCACGATGGTTGATAGGATTCAACTAAGGCCAAGATGGAAAGTTATTGTGGTGGTGGGAAACAGCTGGAAGACAAAGGACCAACACCATCTGAATTCCCATCTCCAATGTCTCACTAACCTGCTATGTTAGTACAAATACCCAGGGGCCAGGGGCTCAAGATGCTAATACCCACAGCAGCCAGGTTCAAAAGGCTAGAAGGTACCAATAGTGCTCATACCAAGACAGGAAGACGAATTCAACGCTTGAAAATTGAGCTGAGGAGGTAAAGCTGTGTCAAAGCACAAAGTAAAAAATCCTGGGTTGACAGACAAAGAGCAGCTCCTGCTCTTCAGGGTTTCAGAAACCTCCTGCTGATGTTTGTGGAAACATTGGATCTCTGAAAGATGCTCAGAAACGTGCCCAAGAATTGACCTTAGACCACAAAAGCTTCCACCATTCAATGCCACCATTTGAAGCTGGGAGTAAGATCTATGTTCAGGCCTGAAGGATGGCAGGGAGAAAACACAAAGTTTTCACAAAAATAGAGAACTGGCATAGACATGTTAGACCTCCTCCCCACAGCAAGCAGCCCTCAGTTTGCTGGGAGAAACCTTGGAGAAAGAGGACCTACACACTAGATGTGCCGGTTCTCTCTAGGTGTAGGGAAGGGAAAAAGACAGCAACATATTTTGGAAGAAGCAAAATTTCAAACATAATCACTTTGAGCCATTTTATTTATTTAAAATGACTGGAACAGCCAACCAAAGATAAACTTTCTGCTGACTTTCCGAGCACAGCTAAGAATGACATAAAAAACAGTTGGAAAACCTACAGCCAGAATTGAGATTTGGGGCTAATTTGTGGTATTAGAAGAGAGCATTTCACAGTGTTCCATGTTCCAGAGGCTTTCAACCTCAGGAATTCTGGTTTTCCAGTGGGACGGCCACATTTCAAGCTGACCACCTACAAAGTGATGCTCAAAATGCTGGTGTGTTCTCTTGACATGATAAGTTATTATGTGCTGCCTTCTTTTTTTCCTTCATTTTTCAAAACCATTCATTTCAAATCTTTGCATTTGCTAGCAACAGAATGATTAACTCTGAGTATAAGGGAATCTAAAAATGTTATCCATAATTTCTACCAGACACCATTCCACCATTCTGCACTTAAACTTCTGTCATTTGGCTCAATGGAGTAATTTAGATCTACATTAGAGCAACTGAAAGCAGGATTTAGTTGACTGTATTCAATAGACATCCTTTTAAAGAATACAAATGCACTCTTAATGACAAAAGCGCATAGTTCCAGAGAATATCTTTTTAAAAGTCTCAATTATTCTTCACAGTAAAGATGCCTACTCAGAAGCCTAACAGTTTCCAGTGCTGGAGGACTTCAAAATATAATGCTGTAAAGAAACACGTTTCCCAAAAAAAGAAAAATATGAATAAAACATGGATTTCATTTGCACACCTTCCTTCTCAAATTCTGCCCATCACTAAACATCAGCTACGTAGAAAAATAAGGAGGCAACTAACGGATGTTTTTTCAGATTTTTCTCTTCCAGCCCAATCCCTGATGGCCTTCCTTGAAGATGCAACTTCAGAGAATTGTCCAGCAGCACCAGCAACCCAAGTGCTGAGGGCCAATTCTTTTGCAAGATTTATAGCTCCAAAGGAAACCTATCAAAAATAATTAAACAGCCTCACTCCAGAACCTTTCCCAAGTGGTGTAGTTGGGGTGCTGCAACAGTTTGGATTTACCTGTGAAGCTACTGCTCATTTCAGGTGCATCATCCTCTTCCTCATTCTCCGCATGCACTATGCCAGCATTTTGCATATCATTGTAAGACTTGGTCCGCTTTGGAGTCGACTGCTTGGAGCCGGGCGGCAGGTTTTGCTGCGCATCGGTGGAAGTCACTTTCCCACTGACGGGCTGGCTCGGAGGCTTGGGTGTCCCATAATAGTTCCCTAGGCAATAGAAGCACATTTGCATGTTCAAAAGCAAGCGGTTTCTAGCAGCAAGACTCCCATTTCATTTTCCTCCCAGTCCTGTCAAAGTCGCTGCCTCTTCCCGCACAAAAACACATAAACTAACACGTGTCCTTCCCAGTTTTTTTTTTTTTTCCAAGGCATATTTCATCTCGAGAGCAGGCACAGAAATATTTTGTGCCTTTGGAGCTATTCTTGTCACATGTAAAAGGAGAAGCCAGGCTCACATTGTTTAGGTGCACGGAGTGTACAAGGGCTAAAACAAAAGGCAGCCGCGGTGAATAGCAAAACTTCATCTCCGCACATCTGAATTTCAATTAGTAGCCTTTTTACGTGCATGCACCCACACAATGCTTTGGCAGATCTGGAGTGAGCCCTGCAGAAAATAAAAAATTCATGACTGCTATCACCCAGAGAAGTGATGAAAGCTCGATGGCCTGCTTTAATACCCCAGCTTCCTTTCGGATGGATGTTGCATTTGGAAAAAGCAAAAACTAATCTCGCTCCGAAGGAAAACTTTGTCAAGAGAAAGAAAAGGTACCACAGGGCACTCACTTTCTTCAGATGAGGTGGAATCCAGGACTGCTGCAATGTGCCTCTCCCTTTAGTGACCCACATATCTTACATGCTGGCATATAATATTCCAGAGTTTTACAACCTAATTCATTAAAATCAGCAATAACACAAAAAAAAAACCCTTCCAAGAGTTACTGTGTATTTTTGTTTGCTTTGCTTGCTCCAAAGTCCAACTCTGGATACCAAAGGTGGACTTCAACATTCTCCCTATACTCTCAGAGATGCCAGTGTATTGAAAACGGGAGCAGTTTGGATATGCATTGCCTTCCTCCACCCCACCACGGCCCTCCAAGGTTGGAAAAGCCACTTTTCCTCCCACTGGAGATGGAGAAGCCAGAGGAATTTCTGAGCATTGACACCCAAGTACGAGGACAGCAACACGTGCAGGTTTGTCTAAACAAGGTGTGTTCAAGGCTGTACACAACGCCGTGAATCCAGCTCCATGGGAGCAGCGACATCCTGCAACGCTTTCATCTGCTGCTCGTCATTTCAGGATTTTAAATGTACATTGATGCATAATTTATAGCGGGAAGGAAATTACTTCTTCTGGAAAGAGCTTCTAATGGGGATGGAGGCTCCTAAAGCAGGTTGCAGCCTCTGCTACAGGAATGATTCTTATGCTCTACATACTGCAAACGTATTTTATATAAAACAGGAAAGAAATGGAGTAGAGTGTGCAAGGGCAAAAATACAAAGATAAGAGGATAAAAATCAATCTGTCCTGATTCCATCCTAACTTCTTTTCCATTTCTCCAGAAGAATGTTACTACATTGTTTTTTTCCTTAAAAAAAAAAAAAAAAAATAACTGTTCTATGAGGATATTAATACTAAACACACCTATCTATGTCTGTGTGACATGCCTGAGTGCAGTTTTCTATTCGCAGCTCTGAACACCAATATTTTGTGCAAAATATATTGCAGGTATGTTGTAAATGGCTAAATTCAGAAGTCCTAACACTTAAATAAAGAACACCTAAATAAAAAGGCCTCTCTAAAGCAAGCAACCCAGCTCATGATTAAGAAATGCAGTGAAAAATAACTAATTTTTCCCAAAAAGTGCATGGTTCTCTTTGCTACCCAATTCATTTTGAAGGCCCATCACATGGGCCTGGGGACAGGTCCCATTAAGAGGGGCTGGCACTTAAAATTGTCATTGCAACTAATCCTCCAACTTGGAAAGAGGAAATATTTACACTATGACTCAGAAACCCAAATGTGCTCCGCTAACAACTGTGAGGAACAGCCAAGTAATAGTTCAAAAGCACTCAGTCTTATGTTATTTGCTTAATCTGTCAATACTTATGGAAAAAAAACCACCCTATATTTAAAAATACACTTTAATTGTGTTTTGTGAACCACTTGTAAGCCTTGAAAAGGGGCCAACTTCAGAGTCAGCGCGATTTGTACTGAATATCTGATCAGCTCTAATTATTAACAGCACGTTACACGTCCATACACAACCATCTGCCACCCCAGAGTCCTAACGCGACACACAAACTCATCACAGCTACAGCAGCCTCCCTTGGTGCTGAGCGCCCAGGACTGCTCAGGGGGAAGCTCTGGAAATTGTAACTCATCCCCCAGACCGGGGGGATATTTTGAACAAGACAATGGGAAAACCTCAAATTTTCTGGGAAAACCCCAATTCTGAATCATTCCAACATGTGAGAAGCTGCGCATGCCTGATTCCTGCAGGAACTGCGTTCTCCACATTTGGGTGCTACCTACAGTAACTGAATTAATGCCCAGTAACAAGAGATGCACATCCAACACCCAAATTCCTTGCCATGACCCTCCACTAACCCTCTTTTATTCGGTCCCTTGGTACTTAGGCTTATTTAACCACAACCAAATTCTGATGGCAGCTTGGGCAGCAAAGACTAGGACTTGATCCATGCACTGTAAAGCGTCACTCAAGGGAGTCCATAAAAAAAGCAATAACAATGGGGGAAAAAAAAAAAAGAAGAAAAAAAAAAGAACAGAAAGGCTATTTGGAGCTGACTCCCTTTCATCTCCATATCTGAGAGTATCGGGAGCTTGTGCATTTTAGTATCATGCACAGTAATTAAAACACAGGAACAGCTACAGGAGGAGTCCCCGTCATCTCAACATTTCTCTCTCTGCTGGTTCAAGCAGGAGAGCGACTCACGGCAGCTCCCGCCTGTCCTGCCCCTTTGAGCACAAACTCCAGTTTTACAAGCCCAGGAGGGATGGAAAATCCATCTCGTGGCTTTCCAGAATGACGTCGGTAACATCTCCATTAAAACCAAGGCTCCCTTGAAGTGCAGCAAATTCACATCCCCCTTTTGACTGCTTGATCCCGGGACCAGGAGGATGATGGACCCTAATTCCGGCATTGGAGCCTTCTGTGCTCACCCATGTCCAGCTCCCATCCCAAGAATGGCGCAAGAGACGGTTCCCGGGAGCTGAGCACCTTCCCTGCCCGCACCCTGTTCTGCTCCAGGTTCCCGCATGCAGCTGATGGATCAGGCTGCGGGATGCACCTCGCTGCAGCTGCACATTGATTAGCGACTGCCTGCAGGAAGTTGGGAGTATCCAGGCAACAGGGAGGCTGCAGCAGCTGGATTGGGAAGCAAGATGCAGGCAGGAGCTGGGAGAAACGAGCCTCCCACCCACACGAACCAACCCCACCACAGACAGCCAGGCCCCGGTCAATCTGCAGTGACGGAGGCTGGGGTCAATGGGAGAGCAGTCAGGATTTGTGGTGGTGGTGGTTAAAATTCGCCAGAACGGTGCACAATGCACATTTCTCAATTGAGGTCTGAAATCCCACACGCAAACATACCACAGCGAGTGCCTTTATAGGCAATGGCAGCAGGGCACAAAATCAAATCACCTGCAAGTCGACATCAGCCTGATTTATCCTCATTTCTCCTGCACTGAGATACCAACTGCTCTTGCCATGTGGCTTTGGTTAACACGTGAGTACAGGCAGGTACAAACACGTCTAATTCGCAAAAAAAGAACCCTAATTATCTAACATAAAATAAGCTTTACCTAAAGCACCCTAGCCTGTGGTCAGAGAGGAAACAAGGGCTCAAAATGACCCATGCTCTAACCTTAGAAGTAACCAGTCAACTCACAACTTCTAGTCCTTTGTCACACGTGTTTGGGAGCAACCTCTACCCCCAAGGTCTGTGTTTCCCCAAGAAAGGGGGGAAAGGGGCCCCAAGAAGCCGTGGAAAGCAGGACTGCCAATGCAGAGCTGCAGGCAGACCTCACCTCAGAAAGACCAACCAGAAATTCAAATTAGGAGTTCATAAAAACTATGTGCCGATCAAAAAAGCTTTCAGGTATTTGCACATTTGCCTTTTAAAGAAAAAAGAGTTGCTCAGCTACCGTTCCTGCTCTCCACAGAGTAAAACATTGCTGCCAGGTTAATATAAAACAACCTAACAACGTTGCTGTTTAACGCTGATAATCAGACACATACATAAAAACGTGTGTTCTTTCTTTCTCATCAGTAACTAAAAAAAAAAAGGACAGACAACCAAAGCATCAACGGATCGTCAACAGTAGAAGAGGGATCTTTCCATAGGGCCCCAATGATAGTAAGTGGGTATTTGACATGATCCATTGCAATGGCACTCAAGGAGCCGTTTTGATTTATTGAGTCAATCTGTAGCATGCAGACATTAATAAGCAGGTCTTATCTTATTAAGCAGAACATGTCTGATGGGCACCCACAGCACCTGCCACCCCTGCTCTCCCCGTCATCCTGCCACAGACACAGGATTTGTTTTGAAACCAACAGAGAGCAAAGAACCCAGAAAAGCAGCAATAAAAGGAGAGTTTTCGTAACTAAAGGTGGGTGAGCAGAGCTGATAGAGAAACCCACGTGGAACTAGCACGCCAGATAAATTAGGCTAAAGACATCTTGATTTGAAGCATGTTGCCGAATACACCTCTCTACTCCAGCTGAAATCCTAACTGCCCTGTTAAGGTAATTTATTGCACTCATCAAGCACCACAATCAGAGCCCCTGTCTACAGTAGCCAGTTTTATACATTTTAAAAATGTTAGCAAGTCACCCCATTACATGAGACTAATGCAGATTACTTATTACCTCTCTTGGCAATCACATAACACTTGTCCAGAGAATGAAAGATGATGCCTTGACAATAATACTCTAAAATGTAATAACCCTTCACATGTTATAAAGTGCAGCACTTTTTCTTCTGAGGATCATTAAGTGCTGTGCAGGCATTCATTAGCACTGCCTGGCCAGACCCAGTGGCATGGAGCCATCCCCATGCAAAATTTGCCCCAAAATCCGCATTTCTTTGCGGTGCTCATCTTATCTGGGAACCTGAAATACCATAGTCTTCACCAACCCTGTCATATCTGCAGTGGCAGACATCTGCAGGCATAGGATATCTGCTGAAATATTAATGAACAGAAGTAACAGTTGTTTTAATATTCTCCAGGCCAGGAACCTGAAATATAAGGCAGTTACCTGACTTGCCCAAGGCCATTCAGAAATGGAAATATAACCTAGAAGCTGTGGCTCTGCTCAAAACAGCCCTCCCCTGGGGGCCTTGCCAGAGCCCACCATTCAAATGCAAAAGTAATTGCTGAATAATTAGTAACCTACACAATTACTTCTATGCATCCATCAGTATTTTATGCCCTGAAGGATTAGTCGATAAATGACTGCAATTACAATTTTTGTGGTTCACTATCTAACAGAAGACCCCCAAAATGCTTAGCTTAAAAAGATTTTTCCTTCGTATGGTCAGTGGGAATGAGCAGTCAGCTTGAGTGTGTCCCATCTGGCTCTGCCGGCACACAGGAGAGGCAAAAAGCACCAATTCTGAAGCAGTATCACAGCTTTAAGCAAGTCTTTCAGGATTCAAGTGTCAGCTCCTGGAATTATGTGACCATATGAAAGTTTAGCTTTCATTAGAGGGAAAAAAAAGGGAAAAATCTAGCTTTCATGGTTGAAAAGCAGCGTCTTAAAGTATCAACAACAACAAAGTGGCTGCAACAACAACAAAACGATTGCAGCTTGCAGTTTCTGTCTTTGCAATTGCCACCCTTTCAAAGCAGCTTTTTTTTTTTTTTTTTTTCTTTCAAAACCTGATCCACTCTCCCACTGCTTTGTGGTTTCCAACTGTTCTCTGCTGGTCGCTCTTTCTTCTTCCCAAATCAATCCTATCTATATCAGCATCAAAGTCCTGCAGGCTCCCTGTTGCCTAATCCCTCTCCCCGGAAGTTCTCGGTAAATTTTATAAAACAAATGCTCAGTGTTGCATCTTTTCCCACCAGGTTTTTCCCAATGATAGGGCTAGCACCTGGGTGGCTTTATGCCTTCAAAAGGCAAGCAAATGCCATCTGCTGAAGTCAAAACTATTGCAGGCGTTTTGCTCAGAGTTTCTTACAAGCTGTTGAAATGTGGCATAGAATCCCAAAGCAAATATTCACCTCCTCCCACTCACAGACGTTTAGAAATGAAGGACCAGGAGCAAAGCCATGAAATAGCCCTGAGTCAGAGCCATCAAACTCCTTGAGCCATGTGAACTTTTGGCTCCTAGCCACACACAGCTCACTCCCTGCAGCATGGAAAAAGGGAAATATCAGGAATACAGAGAATTCCTCAAGAGATCCTCCTTCCCCACCAAAATCATCGTATCTGGACCACTCTTTGTCTAACTTGTTCTTAAAACCATCAGTGAAAGATAATCTGGGAGTGGCTTGTCTCCTTCCAAGCTTCATAATCTAACTATCCAAACTCTCTTTTCTTGGTTGCCTTTGAAGCAGATTGTCCTTCCCATGTTGTTCCCCCAGATGTGAAATGTTTCTGCCTTACTGGGACCATCATAAGGTCTGTAAGCTCTGGTCAGCCCTAATGGGATCTGGCAACCTAATTCAACCCCACAACATCATGGGGTTAATGCAAGGTGGCAGGGCTTTCCCCCTTAATATCCCCATTCTCTATTTTACAGCATTCCCTTTCCTTCACCTTTAAATTGCCTAATTACATTGCAATCGAAGGCAAATTCATCTTTGCAACTGCTTGACTCCTACTCAGTACAATAAGCAGCATTATTAATAATAGAAGCCATGCATTAAAGGTATTAATTTATTATTCTCCTGAGAGAAGTAGAAGAGTATTTTCTTTTGCTTCGTTCCATAGCCCCAGTTTAGAATGAGGTATCACTGGCAGGAGCAAAAGTATAATCAGCTTCATCATGATGGTACATTAACAAAATAGCCAGCAAAACATAAACAAATCAAAACTAAAGCCATCTCAAATAATAAAGCTAAGCAATAACGAAGACTCGCACACAGAAGTCTAATGTGGTGGTCTCTGTTTTTTCAAGGGATTCCCCCCCCACCAAACGGTTGATTATTGCAGCTTTGAATTATACTATTTCAAGAGATAATCAAGACCAACATTGTCTTGATCAATACACTGAAAAATAAGATTTCCAAAGTAGCAAGAAGTCGTTAAAGAAATCTCAGAAGGCAGCAAAATCATTTCTTGAAGCTGCAGGTGAAAAATGAACATTATTTATTTCACATTACAATCAAATAGTAATATGTCTTGATGCATATGTGCACACATGCATCATCATTATTTCCTTTATTCTTATTGACTTTTCCTTTTGTGGAGCAGCTCTCCAGAACCATTGTGCACCAATGTCACTGATGTCAATAGGGAAGGCGGCTTCTCAGCACTTTTGAGAAAGGAGCCCCTCAAAGTTCAGACACTTCTATCGCCCTCAGAAATGAAATGTCCATTAGAGTCATGAGAAACCAACATCATCTTCAGAAATTGTAAAGAGCAACCCACAAAGTCTGAATTGTTTAGCTGGCATTAGGTATAATCCCATAAGCCAAGAAAGGACCACGTTATAACTGCCCAGATGGGCCCAGTGTCTCTTGAAAACTAGTCCAGAGCATGTTCCAGGTGTGTTGGAGACACACTACTGGAACAGGAGCAATGGTGTTGATGGAGCTAATCAATGCAAAGAGGCAGAAGTGTGAAATCAAACTATACATTTGGCATCTTCATGCAAACCAGGTTTGACGTGGTAATTATCTGGCATTGGGAATAGGTGTAAGGTTTAAAAGTGACCTTACAAGGGAAGCTTTGAGAAGCAGGCTAAGCAAACAAGAGCTTCAGAACTTTTTCTTATTGCTTAAAACCAAAACCACATGTCACAATCTTTTTTTATTTGTACTTGATGACTTTTCAAAGACTGTCAATTATTTGGGTGCAGCCTGGATTTTTAAAATATATTTCATGTTTCTTATGAAAAGTGGCAAGAATTAAGCTTTTTCAATACCTCATAATTAAGACAAGACCCATTTCACTTCTTGTAAATGGAAATATGAGATGCGTGAGCAAAAGTGGACCAGAAGGACTTCCAGAAATGTAATGCAGTTCTTTTGACTGATTTCTCACAGAGATACACTGAAATTTTCTAAATGGGGAAAGAAAAAGCACACCCCAAAGGAGTTTTTAATTATAAGGAGCTATAGACTGAAGATTTAATTACACAATGTATTTTCTTGGGAGGCAAAGCCATCTTTTCCCCACTTTCTCCATAGCAATATTCCAGTGCTCCCTACTACTGCTGTAGTACAAACTTTACTGTTTGTAAAGCTACATTAAAAAATAATAATTATTATTAAATGATCCAAGTAAGACAAGACCCAGCTAGGTGATGGAAGATAGACACCAAGGGAAGATGAGGACAGCAGGAGAAAGAAGCCCACACCTTCATACGTTCCTACTTCCAGAAGGGTCCCACTTCGCTCCAACTCCAGAAACTCCTGCACAGTCAGAAAGTTATAGTCCACACCAGGCACTTCTCCTTCTCTTGGAGGGCGAGTTGTGCCTGTAAGGAGAAAAGAAAAAAAACACCACCAAGTTAATGAAGTTGTTCTCTTATCAAGAGATGAAAAGGCCAATAAATCATTATTCTAAAGATACGACAGCATCTGGAACACGTCAGAAGTCTAGATAGGAGTTAGGAGGCCCACATAAAAAAAAAAAAGTCACAATTTTATCTGGCTTTATCAGCTGTTTCCCTCTACCCCATTGTTCTTGATATTCCCAAAAAGGCTCTCTTGCAAAGAGATCTCCTGGATCACATGCAGAAAGAGCTGCAAAGTTCAGTGCCTGCCAGCAACTGCCTTCCCATCATTAGCAAGGTCACACTTGTACTTCAGCAAAGTAGCACCGCATACTCTTAGATAAGGCAACATCTCCCTGACTTCCTTTATTTCTGTGTCACTAACTCATCATCTATTCCTTCACGTCACAAAGATCTTTCCTCCCTTGTTCTTCTCCCGATTACTTGACCTGTATTTATGCTATTATTCTTTATCAGCATTAGAAAGCACCGTAAGACAGATTTGATATGCAATGTCCCGCCATCCGTGCACACCCACGAAAGACACAACCCACAAACTGTCCTTGTAGAGGGTCATCTAAAAGCTTAACCAGTTTAAGTGTAGTTCTCCTTTCAAATCATAACTCAAACTGAACCCTCTGTCCCTCTATCACTTGACAATTTAAATAGTATCCATGGAGAACTGGGCTCCAATCATTGCAACTCTGCCAGCTCTGAAACTCTTCTCCCTTCTGGCCAATTTACAGCCCTCTGGTGCACAGTTCAAGATGAGCTACTCCATGATTCTTTGCTGAGATGGCTTGGGCCACTGCATTTTAGGTCACTGAGCACAGCTTAATTGATTAGGATCAATTTCTGTTCAATAGCCTTTATTTTCCACGATTCCAGAGGCCAGGAGATGACTGAGTTCTCTGCATCTGTGAATAAATGACAGATTTACAGATAGTTCAGGAGTCTGAACTTCAGAAGGAGCTGCAGCAGAAGACAGCAGGAGTGCAAGTGCCGTGGCCACAACCTTTCTGCCAGTTTGGTAGTAACATTAAAGATGTGGTGACCATACCTAATATTAAATGAAGTGCAAATTTTCCCTTTGGTGGGACTCTCAGGCCCTGGGCAGCAACTCCTCAACGCATATAACTCCATAAAAGCACTGCAAAAAGGATAAAGAAGCTGAGCTTCCAGAAACTAATTGGGAAGATTCCAGCTCTCAGAAGCTGTGAGGCAAGAATTTACCATGCCCACATCTGGCAAATATTTTTCTCAAGTGCCAGGGAAGTGGAAAGTCCTTTCATGGCCAGCTCACGTGGTTGCTCTTGACAATGACACCCTTGAAACATCCTCTCTTGCTAGATTAATTTATCCCCATACACATCCACTTCCTCCAACATCCTCCACGTCTTTTTCCTAAATACGAACACTTCTATTTTCCTAAATACGAACACTACTGACCTCGGTCAGTAGATATTCTACTTTTGCTCCCCTCCTGTCTCCTGGATCTGGGTTAACGAAGGACGGAAGGAGGAGAAACACAACAGGGAGGGCAACAGATAGCTTGACCCCACTAGCAGAATTACGATTTCCTGTTTGAAAAGATTCAATTTTGCCTTCTTGGTATTCTTGAAAGACTACAGGAGCTTCTGCTGAGCAGTTTGTGATAGGCAACAGTTAGATCTAGCCTAGAGCAACACTGGGGCTGCACCGTGCAGCTCCACACCTGCATCTCCCTCGCGAGGGAGAGGGATCTCACAGCAAGACAAAACATCTCCATCCTGAGCACCCACAGCACTGTGTGCATGTTTGGGCTACGACGACCCTCACCGGGTCATCAGGGCTCTGCTGCCCCTCTCGGCTTCTCCTGAACCAGATCCGTGAGAGGGAAAGAGGAAGAGGAATGACAGGCGCCCACAACACGAATCACAGCTGAATCCCAAAGGTTGGTCTGTGCTTTTTCCCACACCTGACAACACATGTGCATTGAAACACAGGAAGATTACGGAACTTCAGGACTCATTTTGCTTCTAAAGCTCTCGCCTTTTCTTTCTCTCTCTCTCTCTCCCCACAGAGACTATTTATTAATCTTGTTTTTTTCTCCCCCCTCCCTTCTGAATTTTTATAGTGGTGAGATTGCAGCCAGCGGTTTGCTGGCACTGGCTGCCTGCTTGACATGACAATTACCTCTCTACCAGAATTCCGCCGAGCCGTTTTAATGGATCTATTTGTTTCATCTCAGCGTTCCTAATTTCCTGAGCACGTCCAAGGCGAGGCGGCGCAGCCGCGCTCGCTATCAGCGCGCGCGCTGAATGCAGGAGCGCGCCGGGCTGCGGCGAACGCTGCGTCACGGAGATGATAACGCCCGTCACCTCGCGCCGGGCAGGGAGAAACCAAAACATTGCTCCAGATATCTCATCTAGGAGATGAAAAAAAAAAAAAAAAAACCCAAAAAACAGTGTTTTCCTTGCTGCTGCCCAGGGTTGCGAGCGTGCGTGGCTGCGGGCGCCGTGCTCCGGGCTCGCATCCTGCGCGGGGCAGGCGCCTCCCGCGGCACCGGGCTGCCGGCTGCCCACGCGCCTGGCAGATGGCGCGGAGCCATCTGGGACGCGCGCGGCGGCCACAAAGCCGCGGGGCCGCCGCGCCGGCGGGGAGCGAGCGGAGAGGCGCCCGAGCGCACGCGGCCCCTTCTCGTGGCGACGGGATGCGGAAAAGCAGCACCCTGCAAGCCCAAATTCTGCAACAGCCTCCAGCAAGCGCTCGGCTCCTGGACGGCCTGTGCACCCTGCTGCAGCGCTCTGAAAAACCTGAAATTGCAACTAAGGCTCTCGACGTTAATGTGGTTTAATTACGTGCAAAGCACAGCCTCTCCCTTCCACCCTAACCCTCCCAATTCCCTTTAAATTGCATCCTTAGCCCAGGATGGCCATCCCTGAAGCAGAGCACTACAGAGCTGGTGATACACTTTGTAAGAACTAATAGCAACTCACACCACTGCTAATGGCAGAAATTAATTGAACACCACAAATTCTGTCAACGGCTCAAACAGTAGTTATATATTCCATCCGAAAAGGGGAGCCAATTGTATTTGAATGCGTTAACCTGCCTGCCACGCTTGCATTGAAATATTAAGTGGCATCAAATCTTACTGCCATTAGGTAGCAATTTAGCTAATTAATCTGAGCTATGTCCTACTGCGTGACTAGCTCTGAATTGCTAATGCTACAGGGAAGAGGAACAGGAGAGACTAAGCGGTTACTGACTCCTTCCTCACGTGCTTTGCAAACTTACCCCAGAGTTGGTCAAAATACCCAATAACAGATGAAACATGGGGCTGTTTGCCCAAGCACGGCCTGCTGCTGTGCTTAAGCTCCCTAAATTAAAGCTTGCCCCCCCTGCCTGGAATAGCGGGCTGTACCGATTCCCGTCTACTCTTACTCAGAATAATATATGTGTCCGCTAAAAGGAAAAATAGCTAAGGCTGTTATGTTGCCTATCAACCATGCCGGCAATTATCCAATGTGAGTTTCAATTATAGCATGGCCAGATTGTTAATACATGATTCAAGGGCCATTTATCTCCTTATCAATCTATCAGGGCCTCGTGTTAAGCTGTTAATAGTCACTGACGCCCTGCTGCTAAATGAATCGGAATCTTGCTTATTGCAACCTAAGAGTAAGGCTTCAAAGGGGCCACAGTCACTTCAGTGATTTCCTTGTTAAAAGAGAAACCGTTCCCAAGCAGTAATTCTTTCACTGTGCACCTGAACAGCCTCGAGCAAGTCATTTAGGAGCTGGCTTCTTGAATGCACAACACCTCCATCTCCCCTTTGCAAGGCTGTGATTTCTGCAAGCCCCTTGCATGGGTCCCCTGGCTGTCTGCGATGGCACAGTGTGTCCTCCAAATGTACCAACCAACCTGCAAGGCATCTGCAGAAAAGAGCCTCTCATCTCCGCTGCCTGGCTTCTCCCCAAACAGCAGACAATTTGGGATTTTTCACAGGCAGCCTACCGTTACAGATGGCGTAATGATATTTCCAATGTGCTTTTGTCACCGGTAGTTACCGCAGGTGAATGAGACTGTAGTAAATAAGGTTTTAATGAGGAGTGCGTGGGGATACTGCAGGCTCGCAAAGATATAAAGCCAGCGGCTGTTGCAGGGGCTCGAGGAGCAGCTGTTTGCAGTGATGCTCAGGGAAAAAGGGGCTGTCACAGCCCAAAGGCTGATTTCTTTTGTTCATTCAACGACAACAAAAAAGAAAAAAACAGAAAAGAAAAATACCACAAAAATAAAAAATAAAAGGTAACCTATCTGCAAGAAAATGCCTGTGCACACAAGTACTTTGTCTTGATGTCAGGCGTTATCCGAATTAGGGCTACTGATATTTTTTTTCCAACAACAGAGGAAGAAACTGCATTTGGACACTGCTGTGCTAGGCACTAAATGAGTGTCTCATCCCCATTTAGCTGGGCAGAGGTTGCAATTCATGAGTGCAAGTCGACCAAAACATGGAAGTTTCTTCCTGAATGAGACAGCTGAGAGATAAGAGCTGTTCCAAATCCAACATGCTCAAGCTATAAATATTATTTTCCTCTGAAACTGTGAACTCTGACGACTCATGTGGCAGCTTTACACACCATCCACCCCCCCCTCTAGCCCGGGCTTGATACCACCAAGCCGCACGGATGCGGCAAGTGCCGAAGCGTCTCCGCGGCAGAGCAGAAATCCGCTCTGAAGGCAAGCGCAGTCTGTCGCCAGGAATTAACTCCCAGCCCTGCTAATGAGGCATGCGCAGAAACAGGCTGCTCTTGGCCACGCAGGCAGCTGCAGCAGGAAAAGCGACGTTTCCCTCGGCAGAAACGACTGGTCAAACCCCAAAAGCGGCCGCCCACGTCGCTGCCCTCTTCCCTGCCCGCACGGATGCTCCCCGGCCAAGTGATCCAGCTGCGGCGGCGGCTCCGAGTTCCTACATCCCTCCCCAAGGCGAGGAGCTA